AGTTTTAATGATCAGATAGACAAATAATAAATAGATAAAATTGAGACAAAAATAACTTATTAAATGTTCTTCAAAGACCAAGAGAGGCCAATGTGAGAGGTCAGAATGTGGGGTTAAAAAGTAGTACAGAGGAACTATTAGTTTGTTAATAGTCTGCATGGTGATAGTGCTAAATGGGGGATAAATTAGAATTTAATGTATGTCAGTTGTTACTGAATACTAGACTAATTATTTCATTGATTCTGATCATCCTATTTCTCTTGCTTTTGGGCAACAAAGCTTCATCTATCAGTTTATTTTATACGTACTCTATGGATCTTCTAAATTGTTGTATTATACTCAGGTGACCGTTAAGGCCCTTGGGCCTCTTGTTAAAACTTGTGGTCCCAGGGTCAGGGGTTCTGGTGTTTCTCGGGGAAGGAGGGGGGGGGGGCTCTATTGATAATAAAGTGAAATTGAAATTGAAAATCAAGGTGTTAAAACATTGCAAATCTTCAACTAAGTGGATAGTTATGATGATAAGGGTACCTCTTTCACATTTGTGAATGTTCTGACCCTGGGTCATGGATTCTGTTGTTAGGGTAGAGCTGTGTTGAATCTGTAGTGAAAATGCATTGTTGTTTTGAACAAAAAATCTTCTCTGCTCCTGGGCATATCGGAAGCAAACGTTGTAAGAGTTTTAATAAACAAGGGTATTAATATTTTTACCAGATTTTCGAACTTCTGGACCATTTGGTCAAGTGCTCTGGTCCGAGTGTGACTTCTTCATTAATAATGATGATGAATCTCTTTACCAAGTGGCGGTCATTATTGTACCATAACAGGTTTCTGAACTATTGGTTTATTTTGTTGAATGGGGAGGGGAGGGGTCTCAATTCAGAATGGTGCAACTAGATTGGGTTTCACAACGACAATTAAACAATCTGTTATTCACTGTAATTTCAATACAGAAGTAGAAAATACAAAATTTTAGATCTGTAGAATCAATGAGCAACTAGTTTTAAATATTCCGGTGTGGTACTGTTCCTAAGCAATTGCATCTTCTCAGTTCTTTCTGGCAAGCTCCGTAAACGATGTTAAAAATTCGAATAAAAATGAGTCGTTTCCTATCAATTAAATTAAGGACTGGGCAAAATTGATTTTCTTGTCTGTAGTATATTTTATACGGAAACCGGTAGGTGCAAGGTTTTTTTTTCAAGCGGACGCCACATAAACAACTGGCGGTCGCCAGATACATGTAACTTTCTGGCGACCACAAGTTAACCTCCTGGCGGCCGCCAGATAAATTTTTTTTTTCTACTTGGCACCTACCGGCTTCCTTAGTTTTAGATTTCTATCTTTGTATTAATAAAGTTTAACTCCAGGCTTTATAGATACAATAAACGACTTCTCTTTTTTCAACAGAGTTAAACCAGGACAGAAACCATTATCACAAACATGAACACCAGTACTCTAGCGGCGGAACCATTCTCAACGCCATTCGATACGGCATCAGCGTCATCGCCAACAAACTGCTGGGTTTTGTTTTCGGAGGAATCTCATCAGCGTTTCTACTGAATTGAATCTCGTTTTAAATCTATGTATCGAGTTAAATGACTGTTTTCAACTTCTATCAAATATTAACTATAGTGTAACTTGATGATAAGTTCATAATATACTCTACTTGTGCAAGTTTCTTAAAAGCTTTTAAATTGTTTGCACTTAACAAAGTTGTGCATGAAGAATTAAAAAAAAAATCACATAAAGTTATCTATCTTTCTTTATCTTTCTTTCTTTCTTTTTTTAATATCATATCGCTTAAACTAAGTAGTCTCTCTGAATATCTCCCAAACTGAATAGACATGTGGGTATTGGGTTGTGTATGAGCTATCTTCCCTCCCTCTTTGACTAGACTAGATGCAAGTATGGTCACTATGTAAATATGTAGTCTGATGTAGATACCATACGTACATGTAAATGAGTTGAATCCGAGGGCTTGTGAATAGGCGTCTCTGCCCCCAGATCTAGCATAAGATCACAGGAGAACGTGTAGTGACAGCCCTGTACAGATAATATTTCAAAATATCAAACAATAAGATTTATAGAAGATATATACACAGTGCGAATAAGAGATAATGTAACGCACGGTAAAAATATGATTTAAAACAGTCTTTTGAATAGTCACTTTTTCCTTTTTGAGTATTCGGACCTGTGTATGTTTAACTGTGAACTTTCCAAGATCAAAGTAATCTTCAAATTGGCTTAGGATGCAATTGAAAATTGAGCTTTATGAAAATGTTCATGCGAAAACACTGTTTGTTGTTTTAATAAGATGAAAGAATTCGTATATACAACACTAAATTAGATTTTTTTTAATGACAGCCTACATCGTGGATATTGGTACATTCTTTTAATTCGGTTTTTTTTTTTAATTTTATTTATTTATGTAAGGACATTCGATATGGAGGTATTATTCATCAAAGGTACCCGGAAGCAAAATTATACAATTTGACACATACTTCTGAAACATTTTCAAACGAACATTTGTTATATCGTTGTATATCTGCAGTAAATTCAAAAATGTAACTCTCCCCTCCTACATTGTGAATATCTGAACTGTAAATTGATTGTTCTGTTCGTCAAGGAAGTCGCAGTTGTCAAACCTCAATGACGTTTAATTTTTGTAACATTAGCCTATGTTGCCGCTGATGTGGATACTTGATCCACAATGCATGCAGTTCAGTGACTAAGGTTTTGAAACTGAATAGAAGTTCACAAACACCCTTGGTTTCAAATTATCAATTAAATCGGAATGATTATGCTGGAACTTTTTAAAATATTTACTAGCAGTGCAGTGGTAAATTAAGCTATTGTGTGTAGGAACAAGTATAAAGAATCGAAAGAATTTTTCAAAACACCCTTTTAATATTTCAGAACTACCAACATGTGTATTTCATAAATAGTTTTTGTGAGTCCCTAGTTTTATATATCTGCAATGTTTCAGTAGAATGGTAATTGAAACAAGAGGCCCAATGGCCTTAACGGTCACCTGAGTATAATGTAACAATCCATAGATTAAAACAAAATAAGCTGATAAATAAAGCTATGTTGCCCAAAAGGAAGAGAAATAGGATAATCAGGGATCAGCAAAATATGAATTCAGTACTCAATATCAAATCTTAAAATTTGATCTATTTATTTGCCTGTGCTTTCCCCCATTTGTCACTATCATCATGCGGACTAGACAAAACACTCCAGTCAGCACATTTCATCCCCCATTGCAATGGCCTCTCTTGCTCTTTAAAGATTATTTATTGTACAAAGATATATGGTATTTTTGTACCATTTTCATTTTTCTATTATTTAAAACTTTTCCTGACCATTAAAAACTATGAAAGTACTTTTGTATTAAATATTATAAAATTTCTTGTATAATTTTGTTATTCAATTGACCTTCTAAGTTACATTATTTATTTACAGTGATTAACTATCATAGGTGAATAGCAAAGGGGAATAACTTCTTTCAGTAGAAATTAATAAATCGACCAAAGGGTACAGAATTTCAAAATCTGGTAACAAAAACATCTCTGCTTATTACAACTTTTTATACTCTATTTATTTACCTCCTAGATGCCCAGGAACAGAGAAGAAGATTTTCAAGGAAATAATCCATTTTCACTATCGATTCAATATAGAGCCGTAATAATACCAAAGCCCCTGACCCTGGGGCCAAGATAATCACAATAAGATTAGAGATAAGAATTGCACTTGCTCATCATAACTTTATACTTGGTTTATCTGCTAAATACCCAGGGGCAGAGAAGTAGATTTCAAAAAAAAAAAATGCACTTTCACTACAATGTAACATCAGTACCTCTGACCTCTGGCCACAAATTTCACAATTTTGGAAGAGACGCCCTTGCTCAGGCAAGATGAGACAAACAGATGTTTTGTTCTCATTTGGAAGTTTATTAAAAGGGAAAATCCTAAATGTTCCTATGCCGCATTTTGGAAAATGTTCACAACACTGGGTATTACGGACACTAGGGTCTTTAATTTGGTTTTTCTGTATACAAACCCACGCATTTAGTTTACCCTTTTGTCCAATGCCGCTAGTGAATGTAGTATTCTTTACTTGTCGGACAAACAGCACAGTAGATAACGTTTTCCAGTTTACAGTTCATTGATGAGTTGGTTCGAATTTCCATTCCTGATTCAAGTTGGATTATATTTCCTTCTTTTAAATAGTAAATATGTACATGTTCCGCATATCTGCCTGAATGATAATATTTATCAAGCAGCATAAACAGTATTATTCTAGCATTATTGAACGAAACAAAATAAATTATCATGATAATATTTAATAAATTTTACTTTATTAGCATGTCTACGCACAAAGCAATGGAGCTACTTAATACAAATTCACCTATTGGGTGTATATTTTTACATGTGGAGAATTAAAAAAATTATAAGCCTTTCGAATGGTACAATAGTGTAGTGTAAAATTATAATGATAGTCGTTTTTGACCATCAAATATGTAATAATCAGGGATAAATATTTAGGTCCCTAGTCTACTTCAATAAATTCTGAGAATTTTAAGGGGGTAGCATGAGCAGTAAGGATGAATGCTCCTGAACTATGAAGTACAGTTCGTTGACAAAGTATGTATTGATAAAACACGATAATCTTATTAAATTACCATCAAAATCATGGGAAATGCTTGTAAATCTAGATTTAACATTTATGTTAGTTTGAAATTTTTAATAAAAATTGTTTTGTGAAATAAAACACTTTTCCTTTGCTTCGTGACTGAAATAAAATATTCACTTTTAACTAAATACGCACGCAAAAAAAAATACCCCAATAAACTTAACATTCCTTGATTGACCATAATTGCGTGCGACATTTTCACAAAGAAGGTTTTAGAAGAAAGGGTTTGTATTGGGTATCACTTATGTGGGTAGATGTCAGATAAAAGCTGCCACATGACGGGGTCCCTCCATACCTCGCCGGCATTGCAATGGGGAAGTATGTGAGTCTGATCCTCTGTATCGCCGGACTTTGGTCAGTGAGGGACACTGATGCTCACGGTCGACTCTGGAAACCATGCGCCAGACAGACACTATTTAGACTGTACGGAACAGCAAGATTTAAAGCCGATTATGATGATGTGAGCCTGTTTTGTGGAGGAAGGCAGGTAGGTCATGCGCTGGGAAACAGATAAAGTGTGTGTGGGGGGGAGGGGGAGGGGGGTTAAGCATCAGAAGCAAGGTAGTGGGATATACTAGTAATCATTACTTGCTAAATCTTTAGTATATACCGATATCGATGGAACAAAATATAAAAGTAGGAAATATTAAAATTTCAGTCCTTGGGTTTCAGTTCAAAGAAATGTCATACTTGTCTCGAGCGAAAAACTCTATATACATATGTCCTGTACCAAATTTAATTTGTCTTTAATTTGACGATGGCATCTTACAAACACTTCAATTTTCAAAGCTTTGAGTTTGAATATGCCTAAAAATAAAGCATCATCACCTAGGTAATTGGTAAGATCACTTAATATCGGTAGAACTGCGACCTACCATATACTGCCAAAGCTGCATCGAAATGGCAGTGTAAATTTCTACTAATTAAGCGTTTTGATTTTTGTGGATTTTTTTAATATTAACAAGTCTTAGTAACTGAAGGATTTTTTTTTCCCAAACCGTAGCGATTTTGTGTTTTATAAATGAGCTTCTAATGAGTATCCGGTTACTTTGACTCCCAAATAAATTTATCTTATTTTAAATTTGCATTTGGTTATTGTTTTTTTAAATATATATCACATTAATTAAGCAATATTATTAAGAAAACATTTTCATACACTTGAGCTAAGTTTTTTTTTAAAATCAGTTTTTTTAAACAACAGATCCATGAGTAGAGATGCATGTTGGAAAAAAAAGGTTCAAAATTGTCTAAAAAAATTCTTTCTGTAAACGTATTTAGAGACAATGGTCGGTCAATGGCGGAAAATGCGGGGTATGTGGAGATGCTTACGATCTGCCCCAATCCAACAAACGCTATGAAGTGGGCGGGGACGACACATACGCTACAGGGTTCATAGCAGAAACCTACCACCAAGGACAGATGGTCGACGTGTTGGTGGAGCTGACAGCAGCGCATCTAGGAAAATTCTTTTTCAGGATTTGTAAACAAACTAACGAGAATATTGAGGTAACTCAGGATTGCCTAGACAGAACGCCATTAAAGGTAACTCTATATTACTTGACAGCTATTCTACCGCGTTCAGGATTTTAATATTTCAACCGATTCACATCTATACGAAGTGCACACGCATGCGCATGCGTTCTTGCTAATTCAACCATATCATCTTGTTTACACCCGTAATATATGTTTATACACTGAGGTTCAAAACACATCATCAAAAATAGGAAAGCTTTTTTAAAAGCTGTTTCAATATATTCATCGCACTAGCACGCAAGTGCGGCTTGCATGGAAGTGCGCGCAAAATGACCTTCGATTCTTTCCGCACATCTACACAACATGCCTGTTAAGTCTTAAAATGTTCCATCTCAATCGGTTGAGTATAATTTCAGAGATGAAAAAAGTACCCAAGAAGAAATTTTAGGAAAAAAGAAAGTAAAAACAATATGTTCCAAAGTTTGAGTAAGCAAATTTCACCAAATATATAATTATTTTTTTTAATTTTCAAAGATTTAACAAGATATACATTTTTTCAGTTGGTATTAACCGACCGGTGTATCATGCATAGTAAACTTATAGGAATGGATCCTTAAAATTGATCAGGCGCGGATCCAGATTTTTTTCCGGGGGGGGGGGGGGTTCCACCCCAGTCGAAAAAATTTCGAACCCAGAAATTTTCCTGACAAGTAAAAAAAACAAAAACAAAAAATAAATAAATAAAAATAATTTTTTATTAAAAAAAAAAAACCCAACTCAAACTCCTTTCTGAAACGTATCAAACCCAGAAAATTTCCTGACAAACAAAAAAAAAAGGCAAAATCCCTTTCCCGTACGTGAATAAACCTATTTCATGGTGGTGGTGGTAGGATCCACGTTTCCCAGGCGGGGGAGGGTCCAAAGTCAATGTCATTTTTGATTTGCTCTATATATACTTTAAATAACTCTGCAAATTCCAAAAAGGGGGGTTCCGGAACCCCCCCCCCCTCCTCTGACCCTTCCTCTAGATCCACGCATGTTGATATGCATTCGTTTATGATTAATGCATTTTTAAAGTCCAAGAAAATTCTTTTTTTAAAGTAAACGGAATGGCTTAGGGAAACCAACAAATGACTTGCCTTTGGTAGGTGACGTAGAAAAATCAAGGCTTCGCACCCTAACACAAGAACATTATGAATGTTCTCATTGAAAATCGTTTGAAGCGTATGGATTTTATCCTTGCATTCATAAGAATTATAAGAACTTTTATATATATTTGTTACACTCTGAAGAGCCGCACGGCGAAAGCGCTTGGTGTATTAATGTAAACTTGTTTGTTTATCTTTGGTTTAATTCTAATTTATATATCTATATTTCCTTTTACAGGTGGAACAGAATGGTGTGTACAATGATTACTATGATGTAAAAGCAAGTGGTATGAGAGCAAATATTTCCCTAACAGTACAGCTTCCGGGAGATTTGTCATGTGATCATTGTGTCTTTCAGTGGTGGTATAAAACAGGTAATTGGGTACTATCATACTGTGGCGGTCAGACGGATTCGGTCGCCGGTGGCCAGATAGCTCAGTTGGTAGAGCACCTGACTGGAGATTCAGGGGGCCCGGGTTCGAATCCCGGTCTGATCCGCTGCATTTTTCTCCTCTCCCGTTACATTTGGTGCCGTGCCATGCCCTGGAAGTGACAGGTGAAAGACCTGCCAGGGAAGAGCCTGGGTTGGAGTCTTTGGGGGGGGCCAAAGACTTTTAAGGAGGGAGGAATGTGGCGGTCAGACGGATTCGATCGCCGGTGGCCAGATAGCTCAGTTGGTAGAGCACCTGACTGGAGATTCAGGGGGCCCGGGTTCGAATCCTGGTCTGGTCCGCTGCATTTTTCTCCTCTCCCGTTACAATACATTGAGCACTAATTCTGGAGGTCAAAGTCCATGTTTCATAGAAAATTAACACCGGTAATCCTTTAAGTTTCATAAACCCTCTGCTCACTCATATAAAATCTTGCTTGAACCTTAATGGTTTTCCAAAGAAAGGTATTTTATAATAGAAACAATTGTTGCATAGCTTGCGGGGCAAAATTGGACAAAGACGACATTTCAACTTGGCAAATCTATAAAGGAATAATAAATATTTATGTCATTATGTGAGTTATCTCTCTTATCAGAGTATCAGTGAACCCCAAAAGCATAGATTCCAATCGCATCGTTGCAACTCACTCGGGTTTTGTTCCATTCAATTTCAACGATGAAGCGCAATGCATGTATATATAATTATTTTTAATAAAGCAGTCTTCGTGTTTGAAGTGTCTTAGTGTAAATCACTATAAATTCTGGATGCAACTCTGCCTCTGCATCCTTAAAGAAACCACCTACACATTTAGTCGATTTCCCTCTTACCCCTTAGCACACTCTTCCTTAATGCCTTAATGCATTGTACATTGGGTTATGTTAATTTTGCGTCTACAGCTCAAAAAACTTTTAAAAGAAAGATAACATTTGTTTACTGTTACATACATCGTTTGCCTTGTTGCCATCTTACTTGTTTTGACATTTGATTTCCTTCATCATATTATGTACTTATCAGGTAACAGTTGGGGAACAGACCCTGGGGGTGACAGTTGTCTAGGTTGTGGGGAACAAGAGACATTCGTGAATTGTGCTGACGTGAAAATCCTACCAAGTGATGGAACTCTAACACAAGCCCCAACAGTTCGACCAATCACAAATCGTCCCACTACAGACCAACCAATCACAAATCGCCCCACTACAGACCAACCAATCACAAATCGCCCTACTACAATAAATCCCTGGTTTATTACACGAGCACCCACTACATCTCGTCCTTCTACTCGACCTCCTACCAATCCTGACAGTTTTGTCTCCGTCTGTCCTGATGGAGAAACCCGTACTTGTCGCGCTTCTGGTGTGTTTAGTGGAAATAGCGGATATGACGTCTGGTGTGCCCAGTACTGCAGAAAAAATTCGCCAAACTGTCAGCCTCTCTATTGTAGCTGTACCTGCAAATCTCGGTGCACTCTCAAGTCAACGTTTCAGAGTTACTCTGACTGGCTTGGATCAGACTTTTGTGATAACGCCTCTTCTCATCACAAAGGGATCTTTTGCGAATGTATTTAGCAGAATCTTTAATCAGTGTTCTTATTTATTTAACTCCAATCTAAAACAGGTTCTGTAACATCAAACTCTCAAAAATTAAAAAAAGAAGTTAGTTGTGTGCATTAAAAAAGTTGACTCAAAATCTCTTTGTGCATGTACCTATATTTCTATATTGTATTGATTAATAAAAACAATAGCGAAACCTGAAATGTAAACATTTTCAATGTACATGTATTTACTTCCTGGCAGCCTGAAAACATCAAGTTACTAAATAAGGTTCATGAAATCCCACTGTGGATAAGGGTTCTAAGACCAGCAGGTAGTCTATCTCCTAAACGTCAATGTTTTGTCAAATTCGATATTTAAAAGTTGGGCTTGTGGTTTTAAATGACGTAATGGTTTATATACTGAAACACAAAAGAAACGCAACAAGCAGTGATCTACAAATATTTGAATTTTTTATCTAATGATTTTCAAAAATGAATTCAGTAATGTTAAACTCGATTTAAAAACATCAGATTTGATAAAAATGTTAAATGATTATCTTTTAACTTTAGAAAGTAACTCATGACTGTTAAAACACCCCCCACCCCGGTCATTCAATAACGGCGTGCAAGACTGCCATGCACAACAATTGCAGCTTGATTTCTACGATGCAATAGGTTCATCAGTCTCGAGATCTGAGCGAAAGAAACATTCTTTGCCATTTTTAAATGCCTGTATTTAAAATGACGAGGTCGATTTTCCTCTAGCATCGCGCAGTGTAGTAACCCTTGGACTTCCGGTCCAAGGACTGTCATTTATGCTAATGATACGTAAGAGCCCCTTGAGGCGCGATGTATTGCATATTTGCATCTGCAACTCTCCATCACCTTTATTTTGAGATTTTCCAGCTAGAGCAATGGGAATGCGTACTTAAGTCATTTTCAGGACACCTTGGCATAGCTTACGGAAAAGAAAGGATAACTTATTTTTTCGGAATATTGCTGCATTACTTATGATGAACAGATACAAACCATTAAAAGCCCATATTCTTGCCAAATGTTTTATAAAACATGCAATTTTTGATTTCTGTTAAGCGGACTCAAACTTAACTTCCGGTAATTGTATTGGAATGAAAATCATTCAACCGTTAAATTACCGATATTTATCCTTACTTTTTAGATACAAAATTATATCCTATATATAATATTTTCCCCTAAAATAGGATGATGCGTTTCTTTTGCGTTAAAGTATATAAATAAACCAATGAATATATCTTTTGTTTTCAAGTGGCTAAAAGCCATAACAATCAAGTGGCTAAAAGCCATAACACTTCGTTTGTGATTGTAAGGAGAAGGATCTTTCAAAATTAATCCCCGATATCCTACAGTATAGGCACTTTTTATTTTATAGACTAGCCATATCTGTGTACAAAACTTACCTTCTATAAAGACTGTTTTCTGATTGGTTCCCAGTCCTATACAGGGAACAAATAAAAACGTTTTCTGGCCTGACTTTTAAACTAGCTGCTTTTGTTAAGGGTTTGTGTAGAGAAACGATATCACAAAACCTTGACATTGTGGAGATGCTAGTAGTCCTTAATAATAAAAATACGCCTCAAGTCCAACTACTGACAAATCCAACTAATTGAATGTACAAGTCGTCTACCATTACAATGAGCAGAAGGGAAGCAAAATAATTTATATCACAGTAAGTATGCATGTATACGTGTATCATGTTGTAAATTTTGCATTTACCTCCCCCTAGTAAATTCAAAAGTATAGCTATAGAAACTTAAATTAGATTTCTATAATTATACTTAATAAACAGAGCTCTTGACTAAAAGGGTTTTGAATTTAATAGGGGGAGGTAAATGCAAAATTTACAACATGATAACTAAATATGGGGCCTTCGAAACTATCACTGCATTGAGCTGGTACAGAATCGCGCACTTCGTTACTACTTGGAGGTACACAGACTTACACCTGTACCAGCACTACATGGAGGATCTGGTTGGAAGCTGCCTTTCCATAGGCACTGCATTAGCGCTGTACGATACTGGAACCATTTACTGACAATGGAGGACAACCGCATAACAAAACATGTTTTCCTTTGGGAATTAAATCAATATAATAAATATAGCTGGACGTCGCAAATTGAATTACTTTTTGAATCTATGAATTTCGAACATGTTTATAATAGGTTATTCCTGTTTGACATTGTTGAATTTGAACAAAAATTGCTTTTAACTTATGAGAGGGAACGGCTAGTAAAGATAAAACAACTAGCTAAATTACGTTTGTATTAAGATTTAAAAACACATTTAAATATTGAAAACTACCTTGAAATGAATATTCCAAAAATTTCAAAGATCTACTCTTGCTCAATTTTGATGTGGAATTTTACCACTTAGAGTTGAAACTGGAAGATATAAAAGAGAATCGTTAGAAGATACTGCAGATTATGTAATTTTTGCTCTAAAGATGAAGTGGAAGACGAGTGCCACTTTTTGTTACATTGTACTTATAATTCGAATTTCAGAACAGATTCATTTACTAGCATTAAATACAACCCCACTTTGTCTATGTCAGATCTACAAAGTGTAATTTTCCTTTTAACAAATTTTCCTAGTCATGCCTCAAAATATTTATATCTATCATACATGCACAGGCAATCTTTGTTGTACAAAAAACGCTATATGTGTAATATTTGTGTATATATATATATTTCATTTATTTTTGTTAAAAGTGACATATATGTCCGATGGGCCGGGTCTCTGATTTCACATAGTAACGTGAATTTACCCATGGTATTTCTTCAAAGTTCATAATTATTGTTAATCATATTATATAGGGAAAATTATAAAATCTCAAACATATTTTCAGGAAATGCGAATAAAAACACCAGCTATGCATTTTCTAATTAGAAAATTGATCAACAAGTATAATTTAACATAGAAAAAATATAGGTATCCAGGCATTTGGAGAAAATTGCACCTTTTTATGCTTATACAGTATTTTAGTTCTTCTCTTTACTTCAATTTTTATATAATACATAATGTAAAAAGCTTGTGCTATCATTGCTAGACACCACGTATTCCATCTAATTTCATATCATGCTAATAAGCATTAGTATCTAATGCTAGACTAAAAGAAATTCCATTTCTCTAAAAATGAATTCATTTTTTTCTTTTATGGGGTACAAATGTCAACTTTTTACAAGACTGTTTCTAAGACTTCAAAGAACGTTGAATCATATTGAGATGCATAAAATGAAAATTGTTGCCCAAAAAGATCTCAATTTCAAGCTTTATTTTAAGACTTATTTAATAAAATAATAAATTAAACAGTTATCCTTCCTGGCTGAGGATTGGATATCCTTAAAACGATTAACTTACTTACTTCAAAATTTACATGACACGTGCCTCATTGAGCATGGTCGAAACATCTCAAACATTTTATCAAATGGCATACATGCAAAATTAAGACCATAAAATACGATTTGATTTATAAAATAGACCAAAAAAAAACATGCTTAAAAGAAGATAATTTTAGAAAGCTTAATTTGTGACTTAAATAAGTCAGTTTTGTTAACGTTTCATTCTGTTCAGCTATTATCTACTTCAATGATACATCCACTTTTCACTCCCCTTTAGATCTGCATACACATTTACCACACTAAAATTTCAATGGTTATTATCAGTCATTAATTAATAGATTTTGAAAAGTTTTAGAATTGACCTTTGCATAGCGCTGCTTGGTCAGATGTATATAGCTTAATAGGAGGGATTTCCCTGGATGGATTTATATGGATTTATTTTATGTATATGAATTATCTGTTGACATTTAGTTTGCATAAAAGTCACATCAGATAATATCGTCCGTATAGCATATTGTTTAATCTTTTAAGAGAGAAGTAAGCGTTTTTGTTGTTGTTAAACGCATTATATACAATGCTAAGGAACGGCAGTCTAATTAAAATTTAATTAAACTTCTTTGATCCTCGCCGTATACACTGTGTCCACAACTCCACAAGCTTACATGTATCTTTTAAAAAGATAGGTGAGTTAGCACTGTAGCCATCATAAAACACAGAAGTAGATATCTGACTAATTGGTTTAAGTTACTGACTCGAATAATTATTACATCTCTCTTATACATCTATGATTATTAATGGAAAGGCAATGGGGTAGTGTGGGTAGTGGGTTTTTTTTGGGGGGGGGGGGATAAATTCAGAATGGTGAATCTGGAGTGGGCTTCACTTCGGCAATGGCATAACTCATTAAGGTTTTCCATCCTTAACAAGACCCAATTCTCTATCCTTAAATATCCATCACGTATATAATACTCTGATATTAATTCAAAGCAGTAGAAAAGGATTTACCAAGAAAAAGTTTCAAAAGTGTAATTAACTAAGCAGTAATTAATTAACAGAAATTGCATTGAAGTCTATTGAGACAAGCGATTTAAAAAAAAAAATTAAAATAATAAGAATGTCAATAAATACTGTGGTGGAAAGATGCATTAAATCATTAGAAATAGAATGACTATTGAAAACAATTTTTTTACCAAATAGATTTTTTTAAATTGATTTTTTTACTTAAAAAAGAGGGAGATAACTCTTCATCAAAGGTCAAGGTCATAAATTAGGACACGTTCCATTCTAACATGCTACTAGTAATAAATGGGAATTATGTCTGAATATACTGTGTATTCCGCCCGTACACATCTGTTAAGTAATCAAATTTATTGAACCTGAGGTTATTAGGGATGGAATACCTTAAATATGTTTTAGGCATTCTGTAGTTTACTGTTATTTCATTATTTTGAGGTAAAAATAAGAGATCAGTAGAACCGATGAGTACCTACTTTAAAATATTCCAGCGTGGTACTGTTTTGTAGCAATCGCATCTTCTCCGGTCTTCCGGTAAGCTCGAAAAACATATCCGAGGTTGTTTTCCGAGCTTGCTGGAAAGATCCAGGAATGTAGTTGAGGAAAGCTAGGTCTATTTATTATAATTCTATAGAAATAAGTGTTCTTTACAGTTTTGACTTAAGTTACTGTTA